TAATCTTCTCATCGTTCCCACTATCCATCTCCTTCCATTTATGACTGTATGACTGTAATTTTGTTACTTGTATCCTTACGATTTATATTGATATTGTTTCCTGATTGCTTATTTGTACCCTATGACTATCATTAAGTGTTGTATCTTTTTATTCTCCATGAATGTATTTTATTCTTCTTATGTACACTGAGAGCATATGCACCAAAGACAAATTCCTTGTGTGTCCAATCACACTTGGCCAATAAAAAATTCTATTCTATTCTATTCACCACAGAGTAAACAAAGGGTACAGTCACCGCGTGTTTTACTGCTCAACTGTTTCTGTAACAGGAAACAGAAAACTCTACTTAGAGCAGCGGTGTCAAACTGGTGGCCCACTGGCCAGATCCGTCACGCACAGACCACGCCAACCCCAGCTTTGCGAAGGGGAAAAAATGTAATGAAATGTCACATGACAGCCATGTGACACGGCAAGCTTGATATCCTTGACTTAAAGCAGGGGTTTCCAATCTTGGCAACTTTAAGCCTGACGGACTTCAACTCCCAGAATTCCACAGCCAGAGAAGCTGGCTGTGGGATTCTGAGAGTTGAAGTCCGCCAGGCTTAAAATTGCCAAGGTTGGAGACCCCTGACTTAGAGCATAGACCAGTGATGGCTAACCTTTTTGCCGTAGTGTGCCAAAAGCAGGGGGAGCGTGGGGGAGTTTCTCTTGCGCATGCCTACACCCATAATTCAATGCGTCCCACCCACCCATCCCGTACATGTGCGTGCGACCCTCCCTGTTCTTGGCATGCGATGACACGGTGGATCAGGTAGGCCCATTTTTCGCCCTCTTCAGGCTCCTAGAAAGCCTGGGGAGGGTGAAAATGGCCTTCCCCACCCTCCCTGGAGGCCAGAAACGGCCCATTTCCCAACTTCCGGTGGGCCCGAAAATCAGATGGCTGGTGCGCGCATGCACACTGGAGCTGAGCTAGGGCAATGCTTGCGTGCCCACAGATATGGCTCCGTGTGCCACCTGTGGCACGCGTGCCATAGGTTCGCCATCACGGGGAAAAGACTATATAGATCCAAACTTGTAAACACTGCCATCTACTGGCTGAATACTACTGTAGTAGCATAGAAATTTATTCCAACAATGATCTTATTCACCTTCTGTGGCCTTTGTCTTTGACTGTTTTGGTCTGGCTTTGTCCTGTAAAAGGAGGGGTAAAGCCTCTTTCAGCTTTTTCTACTTTTTTGCAATTTGTAATTGCAGTGTAATGTTTTTGCAGTCTTGTAGTACAGCAGAAAGGGATCTTTTGGCACGCTCGAGCCAGGGAAGTCCTGCTTTGTTATTCCCCCTGTTTTTGGGAGGAGCAAAAAAGCAACCCTATAGATCCAGCCAAGCACAGCCAAAATCAATTTGGTGCACTCTAGCTGAGCGATGAGCTGTTTCGTTCTTTTTTTTATTTGGCTTACTTTATTTTTTTATTATACGCCAGTTGCGCCCCTTTCTGGATCGGGACTCCCTACGCATGGTCACTCAAGCACTCGTCACTTCCCACCTGGACTACTGCAATGCTCTCTACATGGGGCTCCCCTTGGGGTGCACCCGGAGGCTGCAGTTGGTCCAGAATGCGGCTGCGCAGGGGATTATCGGAGCGATGGGGCGCTCACATATGACACCTCTCCTGCGCGAGCTGCACTGGCTTCCTGTGGTCTTCCGGGTGCGCTTCAAGGTATTGGTGACCACCTTTAAAGCGCTCCATGGCTTAGGGCCGGGGTATTTGCGAGACCGCCTTCTGCCGCCAATAGCCTCCCACCGACCGGTTCGCTCGCACAGAGAGGGCCTCCTCAGGGTGCCGTCGGCCAGACAGTGCTACAGCTGATCAGAGTTAAAAGAAAACAAATGAGTAGACCGATGCCTGCAAAAATAGAAAAAACAGCCCCTTAAAGCTTCAGCATAGGTTAATTAGTACAAATAGATTAGATCGGCTTCCCGACTCTCAGCTGATTTGCTCTCAGCTGTTTTGCTCAGGGCTCTGTAGTTGCTAGCTGCAGAGTGCTGGAGATTTTTTCCCCCTAACTATGCTTTAAAAGCGAAACTGAAAGTAAAGCAGGGTCTTTGCTGCAACGTGGCAAAATGAGGCAGAGAGAGATTTCTTTTTCTTTTTCCTCACCAAAAAAAGTAGGTGCAAAACTGCAAACAATGGGAAATTTAGGGCAAAAGAGGAGAGTTCAAGATTTTAAAACACAAAAGAAAAAAAGCTCTATTTAACTAGGGAATTGTAATAATTGAGATACTATTAATTGTATATTGTGTTGAAAGCAGAAATGGTTAAGTTGTGGTTTGGAGGAATATATGGGGGAAATTATTTGGCTTATTATTATTGGTAAATATAATTAATTGATTTGTAAGAAATTGGATTGCATGGAAATAATTGGAATATTCATGTTCATATTGATTAATATACAAAAAAGATAGTTATATAACTAATTGATTTATATTAAAATAAATAATCTTCCGGGTGCGATTCAAGGTGTTAGTTATCACCTTTAAAGCGCTCCATGGCTTAGGACCTGGGTACCTACGAGACCGTCTTTTGCCACCAATAGCCTCCCACCGACCAGTTCGTTCTCACAGGGAGGGACTACTCAGGGTACCGTCAGTCAAATTATGTCAACTGGCGACTCCCAGGTGGTGGGCCTTCTCTGTGAGGGCTCCAACCGTTTGGAATGAACTGCCCCCGGAGATACGGAATATCCCTGATCTCCGTGCTTTAAATGTTATCTAATTCTGGGTTTTATTTAATTGACCAAACTAAGTAATAATTTTAATTAGCAATTTTATGATGTTTGTGTGTCTATATTTTTCTTGACTGTACACCGCCTTGAGTCCTACGGGAGAAAGGCGGTATAGAAATATAATAAATAAATAAAATGTTGAATTTGTATTAAACAACTGTATTACATAATTACATATTTAACCAATGTGAGGATGGATATAAAAATAGATGACAATGGGAAGGGGTATAATATAGAATAGAAGGGAAAAATTGAATTTGATTAAGATTAGAGATGAGGATGAAGGGTAATATTGGTTTTTTAAAAAAATAGATGAGGAATAAATATGGCAAAAAGGAAATATAGAAATTGTAAATTTAATTGAAATTTAATTGAAACACTGTTTAAATTTGTGTACCAGCCAAATATTCTGTTCAAAGAAAATACATTGTATGTTTGTATGTGTGTTTCTAATTATTGCTATTTATTCATATTTGTTCTCTTTTATTCTATAAAGTTTAACAATTCATTCTTTATCTTAATATCTTTATATTTGTATGGGGTTGGCTTTCTTCCCTTTCATCTTTTTTTTTGTACAGCAATCTTTCTCCTCAAACCTACCACCTCTCTCTTTTCTTTCCTTACTTTCTCTTCCCCCCCTCTTCTTCTCCTCCCTACTTCCTCTTCCTTTCTCCTTCTCCTCCTCTCTTCCTCCCTCTCTTACCCTCACTCCTACTCTAATTTCCCTTCCCTTCCTTCATCCCTCTCTATTGCTGTATCCTTTTATGCATATGGACTATTCAGAGGGTTGAAAAAGTTATTTTTGACTGGTCTGGTCCTCACACTTTTGACCAGTCCTCGAACTTACGACTGTCCTCACATTTTACATTTTTGCCCTATCTTGTCATCATGGTGAAGAGAAGCAGTTGTGAAATGAGTGACATGGTTGTTAAGAATGCTGCATGGGCATAAATGTGAGGATGGTCATAAGTGTGAGGACCAGTCAAAAGTGCGAGGACCTGTCAGAAATGACTTTTTTCTATACACATAGCCATGGCCACCCGGTCACATGACCAGCTAGCCACACCCACCCAGTCACATGACCTCCAAGCCACGCCCACAAAATGGTGGGTGTCCCGCTTTACCAATGTTAAAATCTAGTCACCTTAGTCATACCTAGAGTGAAATTTCTAATTAGAGGCTAGCAGTATCATATTGTCATAAAAACATTTGGGCAACTGAGTAGTTCTTGACTTACGACCATAGCTGAGCCCCAAATTTCTGTTGTTAAGCGAGGCAGTTAAGTGAGTTTTGCCTTACTTTAAAATTTTTCTTGCCATTTTCTTGATTACGTGACCATGGGAACGTGGCAACAGTGTGAAAACCGGCCATGTCACTTTTTAAGTGCCTTTGTCACTTCAAATGTTCATTAAATAATTGGTTGTTAAGTCAAGGACTACTTGTATATCTATGAATGTCAATTAGTCAAGCAGCCATAGTGATAACGAATCAAAAAGAGAATTCTGGTCCCCCTTTCTTTGCCAAATCCTGATATTTATTTTGGCCTGACATCCTTAAAACTAATCTGTTTTGGTCCTACCCAGTGGTGAAATTCAAAAATTTTCCCTACCGGTTCTGTGGGTGTGGCTTGGTGGGTGTGGCTTGGTGGGGGTGTCATGTGACTGGGTGGCTAACTTTTTTTTTATTTGTTAAGCATTTTTTAACTAAAAAGTTTTTTAAAAAATTCCGACGATCAGCTGTGACAATCAGCTGTGACAATCAGCTGTGCCGCGTGATAATTGGAACCTTTTTTTTACTTTTTTAAAGCATTTTTTAACTAAAAAAAGTTTTTTAAAAATTCTGATGATCAGCTGTGACAATCAGCTGTGCCACGTGATCGTTGGAACCTTTTTTTAACTTTTTAAAAGCATTTTTAACTACTAGTTCAGGCGAACCAGCCCGAACCAGTAGCAATTCACCCCTGGTCCTACCAGATTAAGCCAGGAAATCTGCCTTTTTTTCCACCCCACATAACAGGCTAGAACTAATGGCTCTAAATTTCCCACAGTAAGATATGAATCACTGGATGATTGGACATCCTCTCTATTTAACAATTACCCAAGAACCACATTAAAGAAAAATCATGATTTAAGTCTTAGTAGAAAAGCGAAATCAAACATCAGTTTGCTGCTGTCTTTACATTATTTTCTTCTATAAGAAACATAAAATACTTTTCATCAATCGTATAAATATGTTTTATTTGCATATCAATACACAGGTAGTCTTACATAATAAATACCAGAGTTGATAATAAATAATAATGCGAGGTAGAAAAAAAATGTCAAGACTAAGGATGTACATCCTAAAATCCTTAGTTGTTATTGCAAAGTCCCTTTTCCATAAATAGTGTGATGGATATAATTAACAATTAAAATTGGTGTTTTAAAACAATCAGGTTCCTTCAATCCATGCTAATATTTAATAGGGAAACACTCCCCAAATGCACACATACACATGTAACAATATACCACAGCAAACATCCTGTTTTGTGTTGTAATTCCCATACATAATAACTTATCACAAAGAGTCATCAGTGGAAAACTTTTCTGCTTCGTCATTTTATGCCAAATGTGTATTTTTAACAAACTGAAAGCAGTGTAATAAACTGAACATCTGCACTTTGGACATATATATTTGTGTACATATTATTCTACTTTGTCCATAAGAAACATGTCCTTGGATTGCCACATCACAGGTTAACAGATAAGCAAAAATTGATCTTCCTGGTTTATCAATTTACAACTGTCCCATGGTAATGCTCTGATCTGGAGAAGCTGGGTTTTCTCCCCGCCCAGATAAATATAGTAGTTATTACTCAGGATTGGATATTTATAGGAAGGCATTTGACATCCTGGACCACTGAAAAACATATCCCACAGTTCTCTGCATTTAACAGACATTCTCCAATAGCTGGCCATTAAAATCCCATAAAGGTTGTAATGTTTAGTGTAGGGGAGGCAACCTTAAACACTCAAAGAGCCACAAAAGTTCGAACCGGAAGCCCCGGTTCCCGTTCTATTCTGGAGCCAACCGGAAGTCCAGTTCCCCCACCATAGAGTCTCCTCCTAGCTTGACCTCTTTTTTCCTCTACCTGTCCTAACCGAAAGCCCTATCAATTGTGGAGCCGACTGGCGACAGGGAGCCACAGCAGAGGGATGAAAGAGCCACATGCAGCTCCAGAGCCACGGGTTGCCGATCCCTGGTTTAGTGAATGTCCAACCTCAGTCTGAGGATAATGAAAGATCAATTTCCCGTGATTTCAAGCCAAAACAACAAGCAGGTTTTAGATGACCCTGAGAAGCAGTTGATGATCTGTTTTGAAACAGAAATTGTGGTTGACACAGTTGGGTAATAGTGAAGAAAAAAAAAAAGATTTGATTTTTTTAAAAAATTGAAGTATCAAAAGTGATAGAAATGCGGCATAAGTTCACCATAGAAATCTCTCCATCTCTTTCCAGCATTAAATGCAGTGGTGGGATTCAGCCGGTTCTCTCCAGATCGGGTGAACCAGTAGCGGCGACTGCAGGAGGCTCCGCCCACCTGCCCGGATGTAACATGTGAGCACTGCGCATGCGCAGAAGGCCACATGAAATCTCACATTTGCGAACCGGTAGGGAAGGTAAGTGAATCCCACCGCTGATTAAATGTCTATCCCTGTCAAATCCACCACTATTTTGAGGAAGAGCGTGTCATCTTTGAGGTAGCTGGGAATCTCAGTATGGCTGGCAAATAGAGGGCTTCCACTGGCCACATTGAGTTTCTGGTGAGGTTGCTGGAAAGAGGTGCTTTGGGGATCTGGGAGGAAGGTCTCCATCAGAGGCGACTTCCTTCGTGTGGGATCCAAGAGAGAGAAGGTGACCTTCTGTCGGAAAGGCCAAGGCAGAATGTCATCGTAAGGCCCTTTGGCCAAAGCCAGGAAGAGCGAAAGATGGCCACCTTTGCCTACACCATCTCCATCAGGGTACAGTCGGACGTAGAGGCGGTATCCGAAAGGATGGGTGGCGAAAGCCGGAGAGAAGATGGAATTCCTTTTCCCACTTTTGGCATCCTTCAGGAGTTTGGAGAAATTCTCTACTTTCCAAATCAAGATTCCATCAGTGCTGGCCAGCTCTTGAGTAGATGGTACAGAACCTTTGGTTCCATGAGGGTTGTTACGTGTTTCCTGAGAAATTTTGAGCAACTCCTCATACTGGGAACAGCAGTGTTGGAGCGTTTTCACATTGGAGACCTGCTGATTCAGCTGCCGGCGCAAAGATGCAACCATCAGCTCCATTGCCTCCATACGCAGCTGGACAGCTTCGATGTTCAGTGAAGGACCACCCTAGAGAAGGAGAAGATAAGCTCACATCAGGAAAAAGCCCAAAATTGGAGGCACAAAACCAAGTCAGTTCTCTCTCCCCATACCACTGTTCTCAAAAGTGCTACTGTTTTCCTCTTTGCTCATAGGTTCTAAATCAACAGGACCTTACAATAAAAAACTACCCTTTCTCTAAGCATTACCTCATGAAGTTTCTAAATTCATAGGACCTTACAATAAAATCACCCTTTCTCTAAGTCAGTTCTCTCTCCCCATACCACTGTTCTCAAAAGTGCTACTGTTTTCCTCTTTGCTCATAGGTTCTAAATCAACAGGACCTTACAATAAAAAACCACCCTTTCTCTAAGCATTACCTCATGAAGTTTCTAAATTCGTAGGACCTTACAATAAAATCACCCTTTCTCTAAGCATTACATTATGAGTGACATTTGTTCATGTTGCGCTTCCATGTCTTGATTGAAAAACCCCATTTTCTCTTGAGGTTCCTCAAAGTTCTCTTCTTCAATCTTTCAGTACTTCTTTCTACAATTGGCTAGGTTCTCTTTGGAACCTAGTGGCATCTTAAGACTATATGAAGGGTCCACATAGTGGCCAACCAGATGCATTTTTAACTCAAAAAAATAAATAAATGACAAGAGTCCATAGGCTTGAGGCTATGGCCTCTTGTATTGTTGCTTCCCAGCAACTGATATTTAAGATCTCTCCATGATTCAGGCAATAGACTAGAACAAGGGTCAGCAATCTGCGGCTCTGGAGCCACATGTGGCTCTTTCACCCCTCTTCTGCGGCTCCCTGTCACTCAAAATATGCGTCACAACTGCCAATGTGCGACACCCGTAGGCATGCAATTTATTGAGCTTTTCAACTCCTGGTGGGCCAACCATGAATAAATCCAAGAAAAGAAAAGTTTCAGAAGAAAACAGAATGTTTAATTCAACTACATATGCTAGTTTTGTGGCCGCTCAAGAAATAGGCAGGTTTTGTGGCTCCTGGTGTTTTCTTTTCTGTGGGAAACGGGTCCAAATGGCTCTTTGAGTGTTTAAGGTTGCAGACCCCTGGACTAGAAGGTACATGACCCCTGATCTGGTTCCTCTGATGCTCCGTGAATTCTCATTCTCCATAAATGTGTCCAACGCCTTCATAAAACCATTTAAATTAGTATTTATGCCCTTCCGGGAATGATCATTTAAAATTGACCACTGAACGATGCATGGGTAAAGAATTAGGCTTTCAAAGTTTATTCAGTAACTTACCATAATAGGGGCAGTAACGCTCCAGTGTGCTTCCTTCTCTTTATTCTCATTTTGGTCTTCAGGAATCAAAGTGGCATTTTTTGTAGTTCCGATAGGTGCCTCAGGGAGGCATAAATGCTCCTAAAATTAAAAATCGGGACAGCATGGTTCAAACTAGGGTTTTTGACACTTGATCACGACTCTGACACATAAACCAGATTGAGAAGTTCTAAAAGCTTCCAAGTCCATGACGCATTTTAAAGTTTTTAACTCACACGGCTTTCTTCTGACAAAGATTCCAGGGAGTTGTACATTAGTAGCCAGATAAGCCCTTTTTTAGGTATTGCTAGTCTAATGCCCTCATAACAACAATACATCAGCTTGTATCTGGGATACACACTTCCCAGTCTTTCTTTCATAAATTGTCACATAGTTCTAGCCCTTTCCTCAAGGAAGATATAGATTTTTTATTTTTAATCCAGGAAATATTTCATTTAACCATTAACTTCATTTAAAACATATGAAGAACGGTTGCTGGATTTGGGTATGGCTAGTCTAGAGGAAAGAAGGACTAGGAGGAACATGATAGCAGTCTTCTAATATCTAAGGAGCTGCCACAAAGAAGAGGGGATCAAACTATTTTCCAAAGCACCAAAAGGTAGGACAGGAAGCAATGGATGGAAACTAATCAAGGAGAGAAGCAAGCTGGAATTAAGGAGAAACTTCCTAAAAGTGAGAACAATTAACCAGTAGAACAGCTTGCCTTCAGAAATTGTGGGTGCTTCATCACTGGAGATTTTAAAGAAGAGACTGGATAGCCCCTTGTCTGAAATGAATGATATAGGCTCTCTCGCTTGGGCAGGGGGTTGGACTAGATGACCTCCAAGGTCCTTTCTAGCTCTATTCTGAATCTGAACCTGAATCTGAACTGTTGGGGTTTTATTACCAACATTTTTCATCATATTAGTAGTAGTATTAATTATGAAGATTGCCATCCACACTTATGGACCAGTTCATACCTAGTATCGTATTAAATCTTAATGAGATATTAATATATTTTTTAACAGTAAACTTGAGGGCTGACTGAAAAGCAATGAAAAGGGACTATGTTCATTGAAAATACCTGGTATGATTTCAGAGTTCCCGTCCATCTGCAGTCAAAATTTGGGCAGGCGATCTGTGTGTCGAGAGCGTCGTTCTCTGCTGCTCTGTCACTATGGAACTGGAAAGTGAAAGATTCAAGAAGTCAGATGACAATGATAAGAGTTGATCATGGTAACATTAAATCCATACCCTCCCTTCTAACACCAACTTCCACCAATAGGATGATCTCTACCATTAGGTGGACTGAGATAGTAATGCCAGACAGTAGATCCTGAGAATTAATGGCAAGATGTCCCAAAGGCAACTTCCTTATTTTTCTTTGAAGACGTTTCACTTCTCATCCAAGAAGTTTCTTCATCCAGTCAGAGCTGAAGAAGCTTCTTGGACGAGAAGCGAAACGTCTTCAAAGAAAAACAAGTAAGTTCAGTTGCCTCTTGAAAAAGCACCTTTAGGACCTAGACCTGAGACTCTCCATAGACATTTAGTGGGAAGATCTTACAGAAAAGGGTGAACGCCATATAGCTCAAGGGTCTCCAAACTTGGCAACTTTAAGACTTGTGGACTTCAACTCCCAGAAATCCTCAGCTAGCAAAGCCAACTTTGCTGGCTGAGGAATTCTGGGAGTTGAAGTCCACAAGTCTTAAAGTTGCCAAGGTTGGAGTCTCCTGATATACATGACTTGAATTCTAAACTCTGTGGTGGTGGTGTATCTTCTGCCATGGGTAGTGAAGTTTCACTTTGGTCCAGCTTTTGTCCATCCCACAGCCTATCTTTTAAGATACAATTCCTTTCCCGCCACTAGATGGAACCTCCATTATGCGAATCAATCATATGACTTCTTTTGGCTTAGCAATGGAGGTGCACTCATGCCTTGTGGAGCACATTTTTGAGAACATCAGGAGAACCCCAACCCTGCTAGAACAAACCACCAGCCCATCTAACCCCGCTACGTTTTATGACTTTACAAGGCTACACTAATTTCCAAGGGAGAAAGAATTCTCTAGAACAGGGGTCTCCAACCTTGGCAACTTTTAAGGTTGTTCAGGTCTGAGGACAATTATGTTGAAACTCACCTCTTTGAGATGCAAGACCTTCTTACACGTAAGGCAGGAGACTATTCTCTCTGAGTCCCTGAGGAAGAAAAGAAAGGAAAAGGTGAACTGAGTGAAAATCTAACAACAATACATTTTGAAAGGACTCTTGTCCCACACAGAACCCTTCCAATCACCTGCTGCTTCCATCCTTCAACACGTCCTTCATTCCACTTATCTTTTGGCTCTTCCTTTATAGTTAGGCAATATAACTCCATTTTATGATTTGATTAGTCAAATCCATTTCATTTTAGGTCTGTCCCTCCTTAACCAGGAAAATAAAAAACAGTGCTCAAGGCATCCAGCAATAAAACCCAACAGCAGGGCAGAATTCTGAGGAAAACCTCGTTCATTTGTCAAATTAAAAACTAACAGGGCATTTGAATACAGAACAGGAGAGAGCTGTTTTTATAGATTCTGTATTTTTATATTTATATTTGAAATGTAATACAGATTATGAAAATACAGAATCTATAAATACCACATGGGGATAACCCAAAAAACATAGGGGAATTGGAACATAGATTGTACTGTAATTTATTTTATTTATTTATTTTATTAGTCGTATTTCTATGCCGTCCACTCTCCGAGGACTCTGGGCGGCTTACACCAAAGACAGTCTACTAAATAGCATATTGCCCCCTAACAATCTGGGTCCTCATTTTACCCACCTCGGAAGGATGGAAGGCTGAGTCAACCTTGAGCCGGTGAGATTTGACCCGCTGAGCTGCTGAACTAGCAGTCAGCTGAAGTAGCTGCAGTACTGCACTCTAACCACTGCACCACCTCGGCTAATTGTTATAATTATAATTACATATTTATAACATCATTAATAATTATGATTTAATAATTATTATAGAACTAATTAAGGTAGTAATTAATTAAGGAACTTAGCCCGAAATCTGGTGAAAAATTATGTATTAAACAGGCAGATGCCTGAAATTTTTTTTTTTAAAAAAAAGAAAAATAAACTTAATTCACAATTCATTCCAATCCAGAGAAATGGTTGCTGACAAGTGGTCAGTCCCTATTAAGATCAGAACCAAATACCGGTCTGAGAAAAATTTATCTTTGTGAGCCATAGAAATGCCAAACGACTTGATGGCACATAACCAATCAATCATTCTTGAGCTTGGGGGTTCAGTCTGTCTGTCTGTCTGTCTGTCTGTCTGTCTGTCTGTCTATCACATACCAATCAATCACTCTTGAGCTTGGAGGTTCTGTCTGTCTGTCTGTCTGTCTGTCTGTCTATCACATAACCAATCAATCACTCTTGAGCTTGAAGGTTCTGTCTGTCTGTTTGTCTGTCTGTCTGTCTGTCTGTCTGTCTGTCTGTCTGTCTGTCTATCACATAACCAATCAATCACTCTTGAGCTTGGGGGTTCTGTCTATCTGTCTGTCTGTCTGTCTGTCTATCACATAACCAATCAATCACTCTTGAGCTTGGAGGTTCTGTCTGTCTGTCTGTCTGTCTGTCTGTCTGTCTGTCTATCACATAACCAATCAATCACTCTTGAGCTTGGGGGTTCTGTCTGTCTGTCTGTCTGTCTGTCTATCACATAACCAATCAATCACTCTTGAGCTTGAAGGTTCTGTCTGTCTGTCTGTCTTCTGTCTGTCTGTCTGTCTGTCTATCACATAACCAATCAATCACTCTTGAGCTTGCGGGTCTCTCTCTCTCTCTCTATCTTAGCTACCAATAAGAAAAGGAGGCAAAGATTTTCCCCCTTGGAACCAAAAAGGGCTTTTCTGCCAAATTATTACCGGTAAGAAGAGCAAATATTCTGAGAATTCAAGCTGCCACGGTCGAGAAACGCCGATCTAAGTCTAACCGCCAACTCGCCAAGTCAGAAAACCCGTGTCACAAATTTGTGTCCCCAGGAACACAACACACAACCCAACCGGCAAATCCAGATGTACAAAAAAGTCGATTTTCCTCTACACGCCCCCCCCCAACCTTCCCCCACACGGACTTAGTTCCAGTACAATTTTCAGCCTTCTCCGCCCGCACGCCGGACCCTTTCGAGTTCTGGCTGAGCCTGATGGGGCTCGTAGTCCGAAAGCCTGCATGGAGAGGGGACGGGGGGGGGGAAACGGGCACCCCCAGGTCGCGATTCTCCCTGCCTTCTCACCCACCCACCCCCGGCCCCAAAGATCCTCCTTGCCCCTCACCTGAAGAGCCCTTTCACGCATCTCCGGCAGTAGCGATGCCCGCATTCCGCCTGTTGCGGGTTGGTCAAGAGGAACCCGCAAGCTTGGCACAGGAGCCCGACTTTGCCCAGAGGATCCATGGGCATCACGGAGCCGCGGAGCTTTCCCATCATCCACGAGCCGAGCTGGTCCCTCCAGGCGAAGTTTCCCAAGTTGGTCTCCGGATCGATCTGCCCCGTCCGTGGATCCGTCCGTCAATCAATCAATCAATCAATCAATCAATCAATCAAATAGATCTATCTATCAATCTATCTTTCTATCTATATCCCTTTCCACTCTTCCGTTCCGCTTCGTAAGCTGACTCCGCCGGCAGCCAGGCGGGTGGAGAGCCTTTATAGGCGGCGCCGCTGCTGCCCGCTCCACGCGTGACTCATCCGAATACGCACGAGGGAATCCCAGGGCCCAGAGCCAGCTTTCGTCGTCGGGGCAGCCGGGTGAGGTTGCGTGCTGGAAAAGGACGGTGGGCGGAGCCCCGACGTGGGGGGGGGAAATGCCTCGACTTGTCCGGACGTGCGGGAGACGTGCAAGAGACGGAGCAATGGGGGAAATGCCGCTTGGAGGGTTTTTTAAAAAGGGGGGGGGGAAAGGAAAGCGAATATCTAACAATCCGGGAAAGGGAAATTAAGCGAGGGGAATAGGAAAGAAAGAAAGGAAAAGAAAAAAAAGAACTCAAAGGGCGTGACTTGGGAAATGGGTTGGCCAAGAAAGCTAAGAGCCTTGGTAGTACAGTGGTTTAAGGCACCCTGTTATTAAGCTGGTTATTAAGACCAGCTGCCTGCAATTACTGCAGGTTCGAATCTCCGCCAAGGCTCAAGGTTGACTCAGCCTTCCGTCCTTTCTAAGGTAGGTAAATTGAGGACCCAGTTTGTGGGGGCAATAAGCTGACTTTGTATAAATATACAAAAAGGATGAAGGCTATTGCTGAGCACATTGTAAGCCGCCCTGAGTCTCCGGAGAAGGGCGGCATATAAATAAAATAAATAAGAAAGCGAATCCTGCTTTGCTTTCATGCTGTCCTACCTCGCAGGGGTTTGTGGGGAATCAGGAAGCGGAGGCAGGGGAAAGCAATCGATCTGCCGTCCTGGCCCTCCTTGGATTTCGCTTTCATCCTCCTCCTCTTTTAATGACCCCCTAATAAATCCTTTGCTCGGTGGAGTCCGGGCAACTGAATGGAGCTGAGTGTTTACTGGCCGGATGCCCTTCCTGTCGCCAATCCTTGGATTCCCTTTCTTCCTATCGATCAGGAGGCTGATTTGCCCTCCTCACACTATCTTACTGTAGGGAAGTTAGCACCCACCCCTTTCCTAGAGGAATGAAATATTTTGGGAAATATTAAAAAAGGCAGAATATTATGTTTCCCTGGATGAGAAATAGAGAAGCATGTTTTAAAGACCAAGCAGCTCCCATCTTCCTGCCCCTCCCCACCCTTTGTCAATGGGCCAGAAGCAGAAACTCAGTCTTTTGTCAATGGACCATCATCTACAACACAATAGGACCCATCTAGCAACAGAAACTCACCACATGACACCTGGGAAGATTACATCAGCCAGCAAGGCTAGCTAAGACCCCCCACCCCCTGGGAGTCTGACAACCAATCAGGATACTCTTTCGGGGCCCCAGGAAGTTCAAAACCAGAGAGGGCATAAAACCCGGGGACTCAACTGTGTCTCGTCCCCTTTTCTGTTCAGGAACTCAAGCCATGTGATCCTGTCCACCATTAAACCATCTTTCCAAGCAGTCTCTATGTTTCCAGTGTCTTTTTCCCCACTTGGAGCTGAAGCCAGAAGGATATTTCTTCCTACACCTCCTATCGATTAGGAGGCTGATTTGCCCTCCTCACACTATCCTACCTCGCAGGGGTGGGGTGCCAGTCCAATATTTTCATCACCAGACCAGGTGATACACCCTTTGTGCTACAACTCCCACCATCCTTAGCTGACATGCCCATAGGCGACCACTGTTTCAGAAGTGTTCAGTGGGGAGAGCAGGAAGTGACACCAGGGCACCCAAAAATGCCTGTTTCGACACACACACTAGGGATCGATTTACGCCATCCTTTGAGTGGGTGGCCATAATAAATTGGCCTTACTAAATCTAATAAATCATCATCTTCATCCAGCTGTGGAATTTTAGGTTAGAAAGCCTGTCCTCGTTACTGCAATATTGGTACAACCCGGTTGATCTTGATGCTAGTCTAGAATAATTGTTCTCAATGTTGGCAACTTTAAATTGTATACAGGGACTCACAGAATTCCCCAGACAGCATATGTCTAAGGGAGGATTAGAACCGGTATTTCCTAACTGCTAGTTCAATATCTTCCCCTTTTACAGCACACTGGGTCCTGACTGTGAGAGAAGGACCTCCAAATGTAACTGAAGGAGAATCTCGAACCTGTGTCTCCCTAGTGCCAGTATAACATTTTCACCATTAGACTGTGTTGAGAGGGAAGAATTGGCCCACAGTTCCCAAGAGAGCATCCGTGGCTGAAGGGGAACCTAGAACCTGGGTCTGGGTCTCCCTAGTGCCAGCCCAACTCTTTCACCACTGGACCAGGTTGAGAAGGAAGAACTGGCGCACAGTCCCCAAAAGAGTTTCCGTGGCTGAAGGGGAACCTAGAACCTGGATCTCCCTGATGTAAGCCCAACATTTTCACCACTAGATCATTATGGGAAAAACTGGCTCACCGTTCCCAAGGGAGCATCCGTGGCTGAAGGGAACTTAGAACCTGGGTCTCCCTGGTGCCAGTCCAACTCTTTCACCACTGGACCAGGTTTGGGCACACAATCCCCAAAAGAGTTTCTATGGCTGAAGGGGAACCTAGAACCTGGAGCTCCTTGATGTAATCACTAGACCATTGTGGGAAGAACTGGCTCACCATTCCCAAGGGAGTATCTGTAGCTGAAGGGGATTCTAGAACTTGGATCTTCCAACTTCTACTCAAGCATTTTCAGTAGTACCCACCTTGATTCTCCATAATCCCCATTCTTACAATATTATCATATGGTAAGATACTAACTGGAAGACCCATTTCCCCCCCCTATTATAAGGAAATCCTGTCCTCCCTTCTCAAAACAGTGCCTGGACATGACGAAATCCAATCTAGGTCAATGATTTTGATCGCTAAATTTTTCAATGTAAAGCACTTGCATTAAGAGCATTATCCAAACCGATCAGTTATTTAGAATGGCATGATAATTTGACGAAGGTTGTTAACTTTACATCTCAACCTGGTTAATGCCTATACAGAATCAAGACTCTGGTGTGAAGGAAGCCCCACATTGGAAGTTAATTATAGGACATGCCTATAATTATAAATGTGAGTCAGAAAAAAACGTGACCCCCCTCACAGGCACAAGCTGGAAATAGCGAGCTGATGGTTTCACTGAAACTTTGATTTCATTTTGCTTTTTGTAAAGGAAATAAGTGCCTCAGATCATTTGTATTTCCAACACTTTCTGGAGAAATTAGGGGAAGGAAAAGGAAAGGAATACTCTGGCAATATATCCGAGCACAGCTGTTTTTTATTATTGTTTCGTGGAAATGATTCATTCTATATTTAAAAAAAAAAATTATTGGTTTGCAAAATAAATAAGCTCTATTACTGGAAAGACTCCCCTATAAGTGGATGATTCAACCCACTCCCCCCTTTTCACCAACTCTGCGTATTTGGAGAAGAGAGGTTTTTTTTAAAAAACTATGTTCACTGGCTGCTTTCATTCATTTGACTGGAGCTACTGCTAAAAAAATAATTAAATAGCTCAAATTGGTCACAAGCTTATTCTTGTGATGCCCTCTTTTGAAAGGAAATGGATCAGTTCCTATATCACTCTGAAAGATGTCCCAAAAGTGCTTTTTTTTTTCAGGAGGCAACTGGACTTTTCTTGTTTTTTCTTTTGAAGACGTTTCGCTTCTCATCCAAGAAGCTTCTTCAGCTCTGACAGGATTCCATTCCCCATTATCCTGTCAGAGCTGAAGAAGCTTCTTGGATGAGAAGCAAAACATCTTCAAAAAGAAAAACAAGAAACTCCAGTTGCCTCCTGAAAAAAAAAAGCATCTTTGGGACAACCATGACCTGGATGACTGAGAATCTCTACAGACTCTGAAAGATGGTTTGCTTAACCATGGCTTGTTGTCTGAACCATGTTTGCTTGGATTCTATCAGTGGTGGGTTGCCCACGGTTCACACCGGTTCTATAGAACCGTTAGTAAAACCGGCGGGAGGCTCCGCCCACCGACCCCAACGTCATCAAAACGCTTCTGTGCATGCGCAGAAGAGCGCGTGCGTGGCCCCGTTGCAAACCGGTAGTAAAGGTAAGTAGAACCCACCCCTGGATTCTATCAATGTGCTAAGCCAGTGTTTCTCAACCTTGTCCACTTTAAAACCTGTGGGACTTCAACTCCCAGAATTCCCCAGCCAGCTGGGAGCTGGAAGTCCACACTTCTTAAAGTTACAAAGGTTAAGAAACACTGCACTAAGCCACTCCACCAACAACTGGACGGACGGCAAACATCAGCCCTAGAACAAGGGAAGGAGGCAGAGAGTTTAAATTTCACCTCAACTCAGAAGTTATTTCCTTGATCTCTCCCTGATTCGCAAGGTGGCTGTGAGGAAAAAAATCAGAGAGGGGAGCATTCCTCATACTCCAGTAAAGAAAAGATAAAAGGATCTGAAGGGAGTAGGTCAAAAAAGTCAAGATGTTGTCTACAATTATGTGATCAATCCCCATCTTTCCCCATCTTTTTACTCACATTAATAAGGACAGGGGGTGGGGAATTCCTGTGGGTTTCCATGAAACAGGATATCGGTGTAATAAATCCATAAAAGGTATCACCCCAAGTGAAAATGTCACTATTTTTTTTTTTTTAAATCCATCTAACAAGGAAGCCAGGCAAATCTGTTTCAAGGAACAAGAGCTAACCCTTTCCTTTCCCACCCATCCTATAATCCGTTAAATAAAAGGGAATGATTCATATGTAAAACACTCCTTGAAAGAATCTGCACATTCATCCTTACCCTACACAGAACAGGCAAAATCCAAGCTAGCCCCTAAGACATTTACGTAACAGTATCAGCAAACAGCCGCCTCGGGGTTATAAAATTGTAAGCGTAGCCTTGGAAGGAAACATAAGAAGGCAACCTATGCCACGGATGAGTAATGCACTTTTTTTCCCCTTCCCCATAAAACCTTAAAAAAAAAAAAAATCTGGAAAAGCCCCTGTGGAGCTTTTTTTTTTAAAAAAAAAGTGCTGGAGAAGATAACAACAAAAAGGTAAGCGAGTTCACGGTGACATCTGAGGTTTTCAC